TTTTAAAAAAACATTAGCTGGTAGGAAGCTTAAAGCCAAATGTATGTATAATAGCATTTTTGGCTTCATCTTACCTTTACTGTTCAGGCCCCTGTGTTCTTATTTCTTCACCTCCTTTGTTTCATCTTTCTAGATTATGCATATTGTGTAAACAGCATTAAATTCTTTTTGGGGGCAGGGCCCAGGAAACCAGTAATTACAAAGCCACGACAAAATACTATGGGAGAAAATAAATCTGGGCAGGTTATACATTAGATATAGCTTCACCACTACAAAGGTCTTTATCACCACCAAACCAAAAAAAAAGTACATTGTTTAGAGGAACATGATAATGGATGTTCTTAGATAAAGTATTTAGATCCCACCCTTAATTTTTTAGAAAAATTATTGCTGAAGAGTCCTCAACAGTCTTGGTATAAGGACAGAATGATAAGATAATACTAACATCATAGTTATGGTCAGTGTTCACATTAACCCAATTGCTCTATCCAATTTTGAAATAAGGCCTTAGAGGGATAAATGGCATATGGTAATTGTATGACACACCGCAGGCTGTGAGTATAGTGTCTTCCAAAAAGAGACATGGTTCTTCTGACTTGGAAATGGTGATGGATGAAATCATTTCATCTGGTGTCCTTTGCTGATGATAAAGAGCAACAGAAGTGTTTTGGCCAAACTGTGCATGACAGTCTCTTGTCACTAATATCCAGAATTAATAATATTTAATGGGAAGGCAAATCCTTTTATGGTATGTTCTAAAAATGCTGTAGAGTTACAGTGAGGACTTCATTCAGCTGACAACTGTATTAATACCTGCAATGTGTTACACTGTCCTGGAAAACATGGGGAATCCTGAAGAACTTTACCAATTTGTAAGAATATAGTATGAATTTAGTACATCTATTTATACAGATCCTAAAGAAACAAAATCCAGTAATTAGAGATGGGCAGGTCAAGAATATTTTCTGAAGATGAATCTTAGGTTAACTCTTCTGTGACCTAAGATAAAAGATATTTGGTAGAGGGTGAAGATAAAGGAAGAGACATAGAGGAACAATTTAAATGATTTTCATTTGTAGAAAACTAGCCATGTGGTCTAGAATTATACTTCGCTTTATTTTTCATAAAAGTGAAAGGCGTGGTTTGTACTGAAATGCTTTTTTCCCTTTCCTTAAAAAATTTATTGACCATCAAATGAATTTATTACCATGATGATTTGGAAATATCTGTGAATTTTAAATGTTTAGCTCTTTGACACACAAGTTCTATTACATAAATTCGTAGAAGTATTTGTATAAGGACCCAAAGACTTATGTTTAAAGATTTTATTGAATCATTATATGAATTAGTGAAAGATGGGAAACTGAACTCTTTGAAAGTCTTTTAAAACACCCTCAGATATAACAATCAGTAACTGTCAAGGGAAGATAAAGGAATTGAAACTCTTAAGTTGTAAGATGCCGAGTGTGTTAAACCTGCATATGGTGGGTGTTTGCAGATGAGACAACAAACCCCTTGCTTTTTAGCTCTTTGTTCTAGTAGAGCATTATTCATCTTTAGTCATTCCTATTCCTCAAAATAAAACTTTTAATGAACTAGCTCTGGATGCCCTTTTAAGCATGTTGATGATAAAAGTTTTAAACTTTTGCCAATCACAGATAAGAAATTTCTTTTGACTCACACAGGAAGTCGTACCAAGGCTAGTCAAGGAAATTGTGACAGGACTAGGGGCGGCAGTCCTTCCTCGGATGAGTTCTGTTGGGCACTTTTCCTGAGAAATCTGGGTATGTTTTTGGCCACTCTGGGTATATTTCAAAGCATATCTGTACCCACTGAAAGAAGGGTACATACTGCTTTTTGTGAACATGGCTTAGGAGATGGAGAAACCCAGGTTTGAATCCAGTCAGTGTGTGACTTAGGGCAAAGGACTTAACGTGTCCATCTGTTTTTTCTCAATTCTAAAATAAAAACGTTAGTTTCTGTCATCTGGATCTTTTGTGAGGTGCAAATGAGGTCGCACACACTACCTCACACAGAGGAAGCTCACAGTCTAGTCTTGCCACATGGTTGCTTCATGGTCCCTTCATCAGAATTATTTTTCTCTTAATCTAAATTTTTACTTCAATGTGCTTTTCATCCATCTCCACTACCCTTGGGAAGAAACAAAGGCAGTACTCCAATGTCATAAATGTCTTAACTGGAATTCTACAGACTGAGCAGGAGCCTTTTTTGTATGGTAATATAATATGATCAATTTTGAATGTTCAGGCTCTTTGACTCAGCAGTTCTACTTCTAAGAATCTATGTGATAGAAGTATTTGAACAGCGCACAAAATTTATATACAAAGATTTGATTGAAGCACTTCATGAATTAGTTGAGAATTGGAAACTATGCACACAAGATTTAGGTATGAGATAATCAACCATGGTGTATCTACTTCAGGGAATATTCTATCAGTAGAATGAAGTAGGGACATACGAATAACATGGGAAGATAGCCATGGGGTGTAGTTAAGGTAAAAAAGTAAATTAGAATGCTATTTGTAATGTGCTCCTGTTCATTTCTTTAAAGCTTTTAGTACATTTTTTTCCCTATGTCTGCCTGACTGTTTCATGTCTTTATCTTTTCACTGGGTTTTTGTCATCCTTTCTGAACATTTGGCTTGAAAGAACGAATTAATAAAACTATTTGGGAATGGCACTTTATTTAGGTAATTAATTTAGGTAATTAGTTGATTGTGGAGTTATATGTTAACTGGTCACTGTAAGCTTTTCTGATTGACTTTGGTAGTTCTTAAACTCTTGACGTTTTCAGATTTATTAGCACACTGCTGTACTTTTTATCCTGTCTAGGTGTCATTTCCCATTTCTATTTTATTGGCAAATAGGCAGAGGTTATTCCTTATATTCAAAGAACTAGCCCTTTTGTTGTTTCAAAAGTGTTTTGGTTTACTAATTGATTTTCTTAAAAAATGTTTTCTTCAGTAGAAAGAAACTAAAGGCTTAAAAAAATTCTTAAAATTAAAAAAATTAGGTGAACCATTAACAGACTCTTTCTTTAAAGATTTAAGACGACATTGACATTTTTCTTAAAAATTTTTCAACAAATTGTGGTAACAAGGACATGGCCCAACAGCTTTGGGGGATTGGTTTTTCACCTGTAAATGTCACAGGTGGGAGTCTAGAGAAAAAGAAGACTCTCAGAATTAAATCTCCATGATTAAAATTCCTACCAAATGGTATGAGTAAACTGACCTACGGCATGGCCTCCTGCCAGCCCACGTTGAGGGAGAAGTGGGATGGCTTACTCCTCTGTACGTGAGGTCTGCTGTTGATTATTGGCATCTCTCTGGAGATTTGTGTCTAGTGCTCTGTTCTTTGCTCCTCCTCTGGGCTTACAGGAGGAAGATGGAACCATTAATGCCACTGGTGATTTTTTGTGTGTGTGGTAAGAGTGGTGATCACACTTGGCAAACGAACATTAAATGGCAAAAATTTTGTTTCTATATCTAGTAAAGATGTCAGAGCACAGTGTTTTTCTTTGAGAAAGATTTTAAAAACTGCCTAAAATGATCAAATTCTAAAGATTTCCCTATTAACCTGAGACTTTTGAAAGCAAAACTATTAACATGCTTTGGTTCAAGTCTTTTTTACAAATTTGAGAAAAGTTTTCGTTTAAAAAAGTAGAAATTAGCCAGGAGCTGGTTTTGTGGCTGTGTGTACTGATTACAGCACTGATGGATTAACCTGAGTATTTGGGAACTGAATACATAGTATGTAATAGGAATATAAGAAGGTTCAAGAGAGAATCCTGTAGGTGTTTCTTACCAAGTAGTTTGTAAGTTCCAGACAAAATATCTTCTAATATTTCTAGAAATGTTGGCTTATTGGATGTACATAATGGGGTTTTTTTGTTTGTTTTTGGTTTTTTTTGACAAATGCATGTTTATTCTTTATTCAGTTGTGGCTCATCTTAAAATATTTCTTGGAATACCTTTTTTGGAATTAACTTACCCTTGAAAGTGTTTTTCTGTTATTGTTAGAAGGTGAAATATAAGCTGCATAAGTGTATGCATTGCTTGTGTACTTTAGAACTTTGAAGCTCTAAACTTTAGTTGGTTCACTGGTAACATTAATGAACCTTGAATTAGCTGTTTTATGAATCCAGTCACTGTGAACTCTTAGGTAAATGTGTCCTTTAGCCCTCCAAGAATGACTAGACTGTTTGAAAAAGAGACTCGGGAAGGGCTCAGCTGGGTCGAGGTGGGATGAAGTGAAGGAATGAGGTATAGAGATAAAATCCATTTATGAATAAATAACCTTTCAGGAGTTAGCCTTCGAAGTTTTCCAGTTTGTTCATGCATAAAGTGCAAAGGGAAGGCAGAGATGGAAGGAATAAAGAATTCTATGAGAAAGTACCTTATGGCATTTTACCGCTGAAATGACTTAGTTCTCTTCTAATCTTGTCCTGTGCTGGGGTGTGATAAGTATTGAATGATAATGGTAAGAGTTCTCATATATAATGAGAGTCAGGAGTGTTTCTCTTAGAGAATGGTTCCCTATGTATGTTTTTAAGAACCTAAACAGGTAAGGTGTGGAGCTAGTGTGCTTGTTGAATGCCATCATATTTGTTGATATGTAGCCCAGCATTTCATTTACTCATCAATAATCTACTTTGTATATGGTGGCACGGGGATATTAATTATCAATGTAATTTTGTCCCTCTATTCTAATACGTTTAAACTGTATAATGTCTACATGTCTTTTAAATCTATAGCACACTGACATTTTAGTTTAAGAAAACTGGGTAGAGCGAAGTGATACTTTAAATACCAACACTTTAAAGATGAATAATACCAGATCTTATCAATTTATTGTGGTCTTTTTTTCCTTCAACTTTCCTAGTATTCTTAATGTATGAGAACATGCCCATCTCAAAGCCAGCAAAAGCCTGGTCTGTAGCAAATAAGCATGCGTCTTCTGGCTTTCTTTCCCAACAGCAGTCAGAGACGGAGACGGTTCATCTGTTTATCCCAGCCCTATCCGTCGGTGCCATTATCGGCAAGCAGGGCCAGCACATCAAACAGCTTTCTCGCTTTGCAGGAGCGTCAATTAAGGTACTGTGCCTGCCAACTGTGGCTCTCCTGGTTCTTTAAAACAGATTACAGAAACATGAATCTTCTTGAATCTTCTTCACTTTATAATTTGAATTGAACGTCATGCATAAAAGTATGACAGAAAACCCCAACAGTAGTCTAAACCAGGTAAGTTAACTTACGTTTCCAGAAAAAAAGCAGTCCAGATAAGCAATCCAGGGCTGGGTGGAGGCCTTGCCCCACCAGGTGCTCCAGCAATCAGGTCTTTTTGTCGAGCCAGTTGAGAGAAGGACACAACAAAGCCTTTTTCCTGGGAAAGTTTCCTGTTAGCTGCAGGGATATTTCCACCTGTAGTCCATTGCCCAGAACTTGGCCAGATGAAGTTGAAGGGGCCCGCAGGTAAATGCAGTCCACGTGTGGTCAGCCAAACATTTTATTAGTATGGGAGGGTAGGGTAACAATTTCAGAGGACAACTAATGGTGTCTGCCATAATAGATATTGTGTGTTCTGAATGATTCTGTGTTTTAATGTGCTAAGACAATGTAATATTAAACAAACAAGGTCGTTTGTTTTAAGAATAACAAAGGTTGACAAAAACTTGATATATTGATAGCTTTCTTCAGGAAAACAGTCTTTCAGAGGTTTTATTTCAGTTATGTTTTATAAACTTTTTCAAAAAGATTTATGTAAAAGAACAAAGTATACTTAACTGTACAACCCACAAATCCTACTCCTGAGTATTTACACAAGAGAAATGAAAACTTAGGTTAATACAAAAAACCTTAGGTTAAGACAATAAACACTCAAGTGTTTGTTGCAACTTTATTGGTAATTGTCTTCAAATGAGAAGAAACCAAATATTCTTTAGCTGGTGAATGGATAAAGTGTGGTCCATCTTTACAATAAATATTATTCAGCAATAAAAAGGAACCAACTATTGGTAAATTTTGGAGGAAATCTCATGCATTGTGCTAAGAGAAATAAGTCAGAGGGCACAGACTACCTGATTCCATTTATATGATAATTCTTCCAAAGGTAAAACTGTAGGGATAAAGAACAAATCAGTGGTTGCTAGGAATTAGAGGTGGGAAGGGGTTGAATATGAGAGAGCATGAGGAACTTTGCAAGGGTGATGGAACCGTGTTCCGTATTTTCATTGTGGTGGTTTTTACACGACTACATTTGTCACTTCACAGAGCTGGACATCCACAGTGAATTTTACTGTATATAAATTGAATAACTAAAAATCGAAACATACAGAAGTAGCCCTCATATAATCTCTTGTGGCAAAGGTAACAATATGTGAGCACAAAATCCAGCCAAAGTGAGTAAAGGAAAGAAGACGTAAAAGATCAAGTGGTGGGCCAGGCGTGGTGGCTTATGCCTGTAATCCGAGCACTCTGGGAGGCCAAGGCAGGAAGATCACTTGAGCTTAAGAGTTTGAGACCAGCCGGAGCAAGAGTGAGACCCCGTCTCTATTAAAAGTGGAAAATATTAGCTGGGCATGGTGGTCCACACTTATAATGCTAGCTACCCAGGAGCCTGAGGCAGGAGGACTGCGTAAGCCCAGTAGTTTCAGGTGGTTGTGAGCTAGGTTGATGCCATAGCACTCTAACCTGGGTGACAGAGCAAGACTCTATCTCCCTTTGTAAAAAAAAAAGAAAGAAAAAGAAAAAAAAGTGGTGAACTAGCTTTACTGGCCATACAACCATATTTCTTTAACATAAGTTTACAGAAGTAGATTTGGTGAGTCTAAGGCATGTGTTTTTCAGGCTTTTGAAGAAGGTACAGCAGTTTATATGCCTCAATGTATGAGTGCCTTTAGCGTTAGCTCTCCATCACCAATATTGACAAATGTATTTTTTAAGAAAGAAAACTAGCTGGAAAGGTGTGGAGAATGTTATCTTCTTCATAGGGTTTCCTGTGAAGTCTCCTAAGAGCTTGGACTAAAAGCAAGTAATTATTTGTTTTATAGACTCAAAATTAGCTAGTGCCCAGCATAAAGTAGGAATAGCGTCAGTTTGGCTCTAAGTGACAGAAATATTAGCTTTCTAAGGAGGGAGAAAAGATGACTCCATTAGAAATATACTTTTTTGATACAAACGTGGGAAAAAAGTCTAGGATAACTGTATCAAGTCTTGACAGCCATCATCTTGAGTGGTGGAATGTACGATGATTTTACTGTATTTTTGCTTACTGTTACATGGTAACAATGTGTTTAAGAACTAATTTGCTTCTTGCACAGCAAATATCTAACATTTTTTTCTTTTAAAACAACCCGTGCCAACTGGGTTCCCAAATCCTTCCTTACTCTGGGGTAATGCTGGTTCCCTCTCCCCTCCGCAATTTCTGCACCATTTTCTCTTGCCCAGTTAATGATAGTTTATTTCACATGTTACGCTGAGGGAATTTACTCATAGTCTTAAATTTGTGAAATAGCAAAAAATGTATAAAAACAGCTTAAGAAGTTAATAGTTTTCTTTCTAAATTCCCCCCCCTTCACATCAGATGGGTAAATGTTACGTTGTCGTTATAAGGTTTGAGGGAGGCACATCTCACACATACGTGTGAAAACCCAGTCATCACACTTACGAACCACAAACGAATCTTGTTTCTAAATTACATGAAAAGGGTTCGGTGATGTAACTGGTATTAAAAAGCAGTGTCCTTTTCTGTGGAAGTAGAAAAGGTCAAGTAGAGCAGTAGCTTCGGGTACGGTTTCCTGGAGTGCCTGTAGCATACGGAGGAAGCCCGAGGGTTCTAGAGGCAAGTGGGCCAGCGACCCACCTTGAGCCTGCTGGTGTAGTTAACATGGGCAGTGGAGGGAGGGCCAGGTCTCTCTAGCTCTACTAGCTGTGTGGTCAGGGCCTTCTCCAGCCCTCCATTCCCCATTTGTGAAGTGAAGGTAATACTTCATCAGGATGTGGTGAGGATTAGCTGAGACACAGCATGTGTTTTGCATTAGAGCCAGGCACAGTACAGGGACACAAGTTAGAGCAGGCGCCCTTGACTGAATAACCCAAATATGAATCACAGCTCTCCATAATTTCCTTCCAGAAGGCTTTTAATTCTATACGTCAGTCGTGCGGATGCCAAGCTAGTTGGCCCAAGGTTTCTGGTAATGCCACCTGAAAGTATCATCACCTGTTGTCGATGGTCTGTTACAGATCGCTCCAGCTGAAGCACCAGATGCAAAAGTGAGGATGGTGATTATCACTGGACCACCAGAGGCTCAGTTCAAGGTAGGCGCTCTGGGGTGTGTGTGTAGATGACAAATGGATATGAAGAACGATAACGCCTTCTTTCTAGGAATTTAGTAAAATGGCTTCTTCCTATATTTGTCAAATACTCAGTAGAATTAATGGAAATTCATGTCTAAGAGCAGAATAGAGCCATATTTAAAATTACATGTCAGAAATAAAAACCCCAAAATCTTCTATTTGGGGAGTTCTGTAATAGTTTGTTGGGTTTACTTGTCTCATAAAGGTGAATTTTCTCAAAAGCCCTGCTACCGGCTGGGTGCGGCTGGCTGACGCCTGTAATCCTAGCACTCTGGGAGGCCGAGGTGGGCGCATTGCTCGAGGTCAGGAGTTCGAGACCAGCCAGAGCAAGAGTGAGACCCCATCTCTACCATAAATAGAAAGAAACTAATTGGCCAATTAATATATAGAGAAAAAAAAAATTAGCCGGGCATGGTGGCACATGCTTGTAGTCCCAGCTACTTGGGAGGCTGAGGCAGGAGGATTGCTTGAGTCCAGGAGATTGAGGTTACTTAGCCTGACGCACGGCACTCACCTCTAGCCTGGGCAACAAAGTGAGACTCTGAAAAAAAAAAAAAACCTGCTACCTTATGTGAAGGCAACCTTAAGACTGAAATTTACAAAGCTGGGTTAACATGTCTTAGAAACTTACTCCCAGGTTTTCCCCTCCTGTCCTGAGATGCCCTAATGTTGAATTAAAAGCCCTCTTTTCTTCCTGCCCTTGGATTAACTGCCTTTGCCCATAGATCTTCCACAAATCACTTGTAATCCTTGGGATTTTAGAGGTAGAAATGACAGAACTCTTGTAGCATTTGTCCTGGTGTGAATCATTGTGCATATTTATTGAGGTTTGAGGTCTTTGGGGCTGGAAT